AGCTGCAGGGACTGGGAGACTAGTCAGGATCGAGGCAAAAATGAACGGAGCAAAGTACAGAGAGATCATTGATGAAAACCCGCTCCAGAGAGCTCAGGACCTCAGACTGGGGCGAAGGTTCACCTTCCAACAGGACAACGACCCTAAGCACCCAGCGAAGACAACGTAAGAGTGGCTTTGGGACAAGTCTTTGAATGTCCTCGAGTGGCCCAGCCAAAGCCCGGACATCTCCGGAGAGACCTGAAAATAGCTGTGCAGCAACACTCCCCAACCAACCTGACAGAGCTTGAGAGGATCTGCAGAGAAGAATGGGAGAAACTCCCCAAATACAGGTGTGCCAAGCTTGTAGCGTCATACGCAAGAAGACTCGATGCTGTAATCTCTGCCAAAGGTGCTTCAACAAAATACTGAGTAAAGGGTCTGAATACTTATGTAAATGTGATATTTCCGTTTTCTTTTTAATAAATTAGCAAAAGTCTAAAAACCTGTTTTTGCTTTGTCATTATGGGGTATTGTGTGTAGATTGAGGGGGAAAAAACTATAATCCATTTTAGAATAAGGCTGTAATGTAACAAAATGTGGAAAAAGTCAAGGGGTCTGAATACTTTCCCAATGTCTTACTATACTTGAGGACTTTTTGGGGACCAACGATTTCCATTCAAAATCCTTCCCTAACCCTAACTCCTAAACCTAAAATAGCCTTTTTACAAGTGTGGATGGCAAAATGGCCTCACTTCTCTGAATTTTTGTTGGTTTACTATTCTTGTGAGGACTTCTGGTACTCACATGTATAGTAAAACCTACACATGCACGTTTGCTGAGTGTGCATATGGTCCTCTGTAGCTCAATTGGTAGAGCATGGCACTTGTAACGCCAGGGTAGTGGTAGCTAGTGGTGGTAGGTAGATTAGTGGTTAAGAGCGTTGTGCCAGTAACCGAAAGGTCACTGGTTCTAATCTCCGAGTCGACTAGGTGAAAAATCTGTCGATGTGCCCTTGAGCATAGCACTTAACCCTGATTGCTCCTGTAAGTCGCTCTGGATAAGAGTGTCTGCTAAAAATGACTGAAATGTAGTGGGTTCGATCCCCGGGACCACCCATACGTAAAAATGTATGCACACATGACTGTAAGTCGCTTTGGATAAAAGCGTCTGCTAAATGGCATATTATATTATGGCTGTGCTGTATTGTGTGTTGCAGGGAGCCCATTGCTGGCAGAATCACTTGAGAACTGCCATGGCTGGCTGGCAGATCAGGACCAGGACAGTAAGAGCAACACTCCAACATCACATCCACGGACATTGCACCTATACAGTTAGGACTGAACTCAATGTGAAGACTTGCTTCAGTACCTGCAGATTATTTGTGACCAAAACGTTCACAAAACACAACAGATATTTTGGAAAAGGTGTATTAACAATACGATAAGCGTTAAAAAGAACAAACATTTCAAACTACCAATGCAGTTTCAGTGCAATTTCAGAATATACATATTTTTTTCAGCAGGGCAAGTCACATCAGTATAAATACAGTGGTGTTTGTTAATAAATACATACATTCAAATTAATAAATAAAAGCACGCTACTTAAGTTAATCATTTTCAAGGTAGAATTTTTTTCTAATTGATCACTGTTTTGATGGTCTTTGATTATCTCCCAACTATTGCTCTATGCCATTAGAAGCTCTCAGGTGATCCCTTCACTAAGGTAAAACTTCAAAACAAAAACAAATCAGCCTCCAAACGGAACACTCAAATGCAAGTGAAATGTAAAATAAACAGACAGAGAAAAATAAACTACATTACACTAAAAAGCATTGCTTTTGTAAATGAAAATGATAAACAAAGGGAAATTGAAAGTGGAAAGAGATTGAGTCTGTGGGATTTAGATAATTGGCTAATAATTGTGTTAATCATATCACAAGATGTGATACACTTAGCCAGAGCTTAGAACATAACTTAAAGGTCCATTGCAGCTGCTTTTATCTCAATATGAACTCATTTCTGGGTAACAATCAAGTACCTTACTGTTTTGAATTAAAATTGTCAAAAATAAACAAAGAATAGCTTCTTAGCAAAGAGCAGTTTCTCAAGCAAGAGTTTTGCTAGGACTGTCAGAGTGGTCTGAGTGGGGAGGGGAAACTAAAAACGAGTTGTTATTGGCCGAGAGGTTTGGAACTCTTTCTTATTGGTCCAATAACAAATTAACCGCCTGGTGATGTCACCAAGCACACCAAAACAGGCTGACATTTTAGGCAGTCTTTTCAAACAGCTCTTACACTAAACGGCATTATCATCATGTTCACAATTTCACAGTGTCATTCAAACCTCATAGTGTGGAAATATATATTTTAAAAACAGGTAAATCATGTTTTTGCTTGCACTGGGCCTTTAAATAAATAATTGCTACAAAGACAGGAATTTTAAATTGGTGACTGCCATTTCAGGTATTTGGTATGTATGTATATCTTTCGTACTGTCAGTTATGACCCCAAAACAAATTAATTTTCAATGTAAGCTTCAACATATCCTTTTAACACAAGCATCGCTTGTCTGCTTGAACTGGGAGGTATATTAATGCTAATTTAAGATATGTCACTCATTGTGACAGTACTTGCTGGGCACCGAAGCATCAAAACAAAGCTAGCTAAAACATTTTAGTTCCAGTGAGAGGGTGAGCGTGACCTCCTACAATGACAGTCAGCCCACAGTTCTCCACAGAATATGAATCAGATCCAAGGCCATTAGAATACAAGTCCAGGAGGTTAAAGCAAATGCTTCAGCAGCAATAGCAAGTTCTGCTCTATACACACTCCTTTATATAAGTGATCCATACACTCAAATATACAGTATACTCAGATATATACACTACCGGTCAAAAGTTTTAGAACACCTACTCATTCAAGGGTTTTTCTTTATTTTTACTATTTTCTACATTGTAGAATAATTGTGAAGACATCAAAACTAAGAAATAACTCAAATAGCCACCCTTTGCCTTGATAACAGCTTTGCACATTCTTGGCATTCTCTCAACCAGCTTCACTTGGAATGCTTTTCCAACAAATTTGAAGGAGTTCCCACATATGCTGAGCACTTGTTGGCTGCTTTTCCTTCACTCCGCCGTCCGACTCATCCCAAACCATCTCAAATTGGGTTGAGGTCGGGGGATTGTGGAGGCCAGGTAATCTGATGCAACACTCCATCACTCTCCTTCTTGGTAAAATAGCCCTTCACAGCCTGGAGGTGTGTTAGGTCATTGTCCTGTTGAAAAACAAATGATAGTCCCACTAAGCCCAAACCAGATGGGATGGTGTATCGCTGCAGAATGCTGTGGTAGCCACGCTGGTTAAGTGTGCTTTGAATCACAGACAGTGTCATCAACAAAGCACCATAACACCTCCTCCTCCATGCTTTACGGTGGGAACTACACATGCAGAGATCTGTTCACCTACTCTGCGTCTCACAAAGACACGGCGGTTAGAAGCAAAAATCTCACATTTGGACTCATCAGACCAAAGGACACATTTCCACAGGTCTAATGTCCATTGCTCGTGTTTCTTTGCCCAAGCAAGTCCCTTCTTCTTATTGGTGTCCTTTAGTAGTGGTTTCTTTGCAGCAATTCGACCATGAAGGCCTGATTCACGCAGTCTCGTCTGAACAGTTAATGTTGAGATGTGTCTGTTACTTGAACTCTGTGAAGCATTTATTTGGGCTGCAATTTCTGAGGCTGGTAACTCTAATGAACTTATCCTCTGTAGCAGAGGTAACTCTGGGTCTTCCATTCCTGTGGCGGTCCTCATGAGAGCCAGATTCATCATAGCGCTTGATGGTTTTTGCGACTGCACTTTCAAAGTTCTTGAAATGTTCCGTATTGACTGACCTTCATGTCTTAAAGTAATGATGGACTGTCGTTTCTCTTTGCTTATTTGAGCTGTTCTTGCCATAATATGGACTTGGTCTTTTACCAAATAGGGCTATCTTCTGTATACCCCCCCTACCTTGTCACAACACAACTGATTGGCTCAAATGCATTAAGAAGGAAAGAAATTCCACAAATTAACTTTTAAGAAGGCACACCTGTTAATTGAAATGCATTCCAGGTGATTACCTCATGAAGCTGGTTGAGAGAATGCCAAGAGTGTGCAAAGCTGTCATAAAGGCAAAGGGTGGCTATTTGAAGAATATCAAATAGAAAATATATTTTGATTTGTTTAACACTTTTTTGGTTACTACCTGATTCCATATGTGTTATTTCATAGTTATGATGTCTTCACTATTATTCTACAATGTAAAACCCTTGAATGAATAGGTATTCTAAAACTTTTGACCGGTAGTGTATGTGCTCATTTAGTGCTCTGACAAGCACACAACCATTCAGCGTTCAATCATACAGGCTTAGGATATCAACTTTCTACTGTTTTTGCTGCATTATTGTTACTATGTCAACAATGTAGTGAGTGGACATCAACTTTCTTTTCATGATCATGTATTTTCTGTCCAGCTCCATTGCCAGGTTTGGATGACGTGCGTAACTAAGCTTAATCTATTTTCTTAGAGTATCCTCAGTCCCATCACAGAGGAGCCCTAGAACCAAACTAGTACCTATACTGTATGTCCTAGTAACATCTGTTGATCACACTGGCCCTACTCATGAAAGAGTAACAAATAAACTGGCAAATACTCAATGTAAACAATGTCAGATTCTGAAACCTAAACACAACATCATTGTGATTGATTGTTCAAGGACAAACACAGGACTGACAAAAATCTAAAATATAGCATACAATGTTAAATCCAGTGTCCAATGGCAATAGGCAAGGGTATGGGAATAAAACAGCCGTGTGAAATGTTAAGACCATCCATCCGTCCATCGGTGAATTTGAAAGATTAGTATGTTTGAGTGGGTGTTCAGTTGTGAGTTTGATGAGAGAGGGCAGTTCCAACAGTCCAGTTCTACCATTGATTTCACCCAAAGAGGGAGAGAGAGAAGAAGAGAGAGAGTGAGAAAGGGAGAGAGAGCGAGATCGGACTGTGAGAGGGTTGTGTGCTTCTAACGTACAGATGTTGGGAAGGGGGATATGGTCACAGGGTAAGCCCCCTCTCCTCTTTCTCTCACTGCTTCTTTGTCTGTTCCTGGGGGCTCTGGTAGGTCACAGGGTAACGTCTTGCTCCTCCATCTCTCATCCTTCTCTACCTAATGCACTCCTCCTCTGATGGGCTTTCTGATTCCTCGTTCTCGCTGTCCTCTAGCTCGGGAAGGTCTCCCCACAGCAACAGGTTTAAACCTGCAACAAAAGACGCAGTCAACACCAACGTTTGTGTGTGGCAGACTGTGTGGTGCAGCAGTTTAATGAAGTCTTTCCTCGCCAACTAGCGAAGTCAATCAAAAATGGTCTAAAGCAGAAACAGGCTGGCATCCAGGCGTTGCACAACGACCCCATATAATATATTCAACCTCTACATTTTTTATACTGGTGCTTACTGATGCGGTAGTAAATATAGGAAGAGTACACACATAATGCCACACATTTACAATGTGTGGTGTCAGTCGGTGTTGCAGAGGGTATTGAATTTGATATTGTATCTTGTCACAAACGATGCATTTAGGGGAAATTCTTCTTTACATTTACTTTGACTAAGTCTTTGGGTTTAGGACATTCCTCATGGGATACAGTCTGTATTGTTCATGAACAGGTACTGTAAGAGGTCAGTGTTCTGGGAGCCAGTGAGTGAAGAAGTTCTAACCTGTAGCATCCAGTCTGTTGAGGGTGGACACAGCATTACTGTTAAACATCCAGAAATGGCCATTGTTACAGGACAGCAAGCAAGGCTTACAGGGAGCTACCACGTGATACCCCACAACATTACCACTGAAGAGGGGGAGAGAGGGGAGGCAGAAAGAGGGAGTGGGAAATAGATAGAGAAAGAGAGATATGGCGGGAGGATGAGAGAAACAAAAAACGTGTCAGCTTTTTATAGGGCGCACCTGTGAAAGTGCTAACTATCAGTAGGCAGTAGGTGTCTATTATCTACCCCTGTGAACAACAACAACAAAGCACCGGAGATACAAAAGGGGCCTGACAAAAGCCTCACTGTACCCACCAAACTGCTGGCTGAACAACTTTCCTACTTTAGCACAACACATGGACATTTGCATGCATTTACATTGGTATTTTTCAAGATAAATATGAATAAACAAGTTAACACCCCCCCCCCCCCCCCCCCCCCCACACCAAAACAACCACAGCAGTGTTGCGCTGCTATTTTGTAAACATAAAGCAAATAGGCTTATATGGTGATGCAAACAGGTTAGAGTAATGTGAGTAGGCAAATCTGTGATTACAGTAACATTAAATACATACCATTTCAGGCAGGCGATATCTCTCAGTTTGCATTTGCAGCTTTCTGTAGAGTAGCAGCTGGCCACAAAGTCAACAGTTCTAGAAGAGGAGGTGGGGGATGTTATGGGGATTGTTAGAAAGAACAAAGGGGCACCATCTCATTCTAGCCATAGAGTGCGATAATGGATAAGAACTTCTGTTGATTTATAAAGTATTTCCTACATCTCACAGTATCGCAAACACTCAACATATGAACAAAAACAACTGACATTGATGAGAGATCCCCATAGAAAACATAATATTAGCTCATTTGTCACAACTCCTTCCACACATTCAGTGATCATGTCAAAACAACAGTGGCTATATTGATTACCTGTTGGGCGGTATGTCCGTAGAAAACAGCTCAATTTCTGTGTCTGCAAGAAGTACTGCCTTCATTCCTCTTGTGCAGAGTAGACTCTCACAGTATATACAATTCACTTGAGTGACACATTTGTTTTTGAAGTTGGAGGTAGACATGCTCTTTAAATACTGTTCTGCTCGCCCCAGAATCCCAATGTCCAGAGGAAATTTGTGTCAGAACAGATTGATCAATGTAGCAATGGTAGCTACTCTGAAGCGAACGTTACCAAAAATAAAAAAAAGTATAGCTACCTAAGTTAGCTAGCTAAACACTATTGTTACTGGATAACTTAGTAGGTAGCTAGTAACAACTAGCTGGACGTCGTTAGCAGGAGGTGGGTTATAAAAGAGACGCCACAAATCAGATAGCTAACGTTCACGTTTCAACGTCTATAGTGGAGGTTTCAATAAGACTCTAACTAGATAGCTACCGACTCTTGGTGACAGCGAGTAATAGTTGACACCACGCAAGCTAGCTACGTTAACTACTTGTCAATACAGAGAGCCGCAAGATAGCTATCGTTAGCTACGGTCGTGACCGTAACGAGTGACCACAATAACAGCATCCGATGTTCAAAATAGCTAATGGTCTGTTGCCATTTTCAACTTATCTTCGAAGTGCTCTTCTCAAAGGAACCAATTTCCTGATTATTTGTTCAGTTAAGTCGTTGCATTCACAGATTCAGTCAACTGTAGTAGCCAGCTAGCTTCACTGTTGTGTTGATTGTTTACAACTTCCTGTTAGCTACCGATACTTCCTGAAACATTTTTAAACGGCTTAATGTCGAATTTCGATTGGCTCTCGAGGACAAAAAGTATAATTCCATTGGGTAACAATCGTATATCACGCCTACCTAGGTTATCTTTACAGTCGATTTGAAGGATTTTATGCCATTCATAATCAATTCAACCAATCGAAAGATGGAAATTCTCTTTTTTTTTCATGAAGAGGCGGGTTTATCTTTGGAGAACTTGTGAAAAAACACCAAAATAATTTTCACGAGGGACGTAAATGAAATACCAAAGCTAGTATTTCTCATGGAAATCGACATACGAGGTGGAAGTCAATGTGGTGCATGCAAAAGCATGGCTTTTAGCAACTTGCATTGTAAAGCGTGTGCGATGCAGTATGTGTTTATAGCACACAAATAGTAAGAAAAGTATAAGTAACTTTTGCAACATAACTTAGATGTATGTCAACGTTTGGAGAAAGACAATAGGTATCTAGCTAGTTAGCTAACACGGTATCCCGAAGACTTGACCTTCTTATTATACCTCAGTGGATTTCAATAGCTAGCTCCTTAACCTACCTCTGGTTCCGAGATTTCCTATGGCAAAAAATAGCGAAATGCCTAATTCTTATAGCCTAGTGTAACCAGTCTGATCGCTACGTTCACCATTCGTTTTCACTTCACTTATCGATTAGTGAAAATAAAATAATGGTGAATTCAGCGACCAGGCTGGTTCCACCAGGCTATCATTCTTATGCCACACATGCTCAAATGCAACAGTTGTATTTCACTGAACGTATAAAAGCCTTTAGTTTGTCAAATTGTTGTAATGTATGTAGTCAAATATCCTGCTATATCCTTTCTACGGCCAAATGCAGCTTGCAACAATATTGCATCTTGCGAGACCAATGCGTGATCTGACCACAGATAGAACAAGGAGCTAATTATAAATATATTTGATGTCTGTAAAAAATATACATGATAGATTTTGACCTCATGCTACAATTCTAGGCTATATTGTATATTGCAGCCTACTGCTCTGCAAGATCCAATGTTGTATATATAAAATCATTAATATAATCTGTAGGGCTATACTTTGACAGCACCTTCTTTAAAGGGGTTGTTGCTCACCTGCTATAGTTAGTTTAGTAAAACAGCTATAACTCATTGATTGGTTGACATGGTGATATGCCCATGTTTTGCAAGCACCATATCACTCTATTTCACTCAATAAGATAGGCCTAGGCTATAATAGCCGCAATGGGTTTTAAGGTACCTATAAACTAATACATAGTGTAACTACTTATATAATTTACAAGCCCATATAAAAGGTACCCCAGTTTGTTTAAGTGCTATTACTTTTTTATGAGTGTTTGCTTTTCACAACACACAAGAGTTGAAAACTGTTTTTAGAAAATTATATTGTCAATGTCATGGGCACATCGGACCACATTGAAATATATTTTGACCTTTATGTTCTCTGGGCTCTTCCAGATATTTATATTCATGACCCCACCCTAAAACAATCTAATGCATTTATATCAGGTAATTAGTCAATCACAATTCAAGAGTACAACAATTATATTGAGTCAGATTACCCCTATTTGTTATTACAGTGTAGTGTGTAGGCAAGGGTCCATTCACCAACTCTAACCGTCGCTGTTGAGAACTACAGTTGGATCTAATCTGACTGCCCTCCCAACCCGTCAGCCCTACACCCACCCCCCAGACACATGGCAACACCCAGCATCTGGCCTAATCACTGCAGTACCAATAAAGTTGCCCGTTGATGTAGGTTTGAATGATGTGTAAGGCCCACTATTTTATCCATACATACACAGTATTAAATGCTGGACTAGTGTGATAATGAATATGTATGGCCAAGCACTCTGCAGTTTATGTATCAACCAAATGAATGCGATACATGCATAGTGTGTGTGCGTTTCCCCATGCCTGCGCATTGGCGTCCCATTCCCAGCTCATCCATGTACCCCACTCTGACTCTAGGAGGAAGAGCAGAGCCACGGAGCCAGGCCATCCTCCGACCGTCGTGGTTACAACCACTCACTGAAGGACTAAACTTTTTGGGAGTCTCCTCATCCGGCCGTGCTGGTTGACTGGTTATTGTTGGTTTAGGGGAATGCATCTCTCCTCAGTTTGCTCTATAAACGGTTTTGGGAAGGCATTGAGGAAGGGATCCACACGAATGGGAATACGGGAGCGCCAAACTCTTGCAATGCGGCCAGAGTGAAGGGAGGCAGAAGACAATACCATTCCACGGGCTGTGGGGCTACTCGCTACAATATTTCAGTGGGGTCTACTTCCAGACGAATTGTTACAGTTACATTATTTTTTATCTGATTGCTCCTATAACCCATAATAGCGACGAATAGTGTTTTTGATTAGAAGAACCAGCCATGACGTGTACGGCCAAATTCCGAAAGGACAAGGAGATCGTAGCCGAATATGAGACTCAAGTTAAAGGTAATACTTTTCTACAAAGTTTTATATTGTTATAAATGCTGTTCGTTGCGGTCATGTAGGCTATCCAGTCCACAATGGCTTGTCGCATTTATTTTCCGCTTCGTGGATACGTCAACGTGGATCAGTTATTCCTGTCTAAGCCTACCCCAATATCCAAACTAATAGCCTATTCACTTTACAATGGGTAACAAGGTGTGGGTCCTATTTGATGGGTTTAGTAGGCAGATTATTCTTGATTAATTGTCATCATAGTCTACTGTGGTGTCAAATCAAAGCGTTCTATAAGAACATTTTGATAACCATATTTTATCGTGAGTAGCCTAACAAATCATCAGGCCCACAGTTAATAAAAATACATATGATAGCCTTATGTCCGAATTATGCGGTATTGATGCATTCATATACCGCATGAATAAGACAGTATGAAATGTATGTAGCCTACACGCAGAGTTCAGATTCCACATGCCTGTGAAACAACGCAGGGCGTTTTCTCTCCCTGCAGGTCTCCCTGCCTTCTGGTGTGGTGCTGTTCTAAATTATTTCCCAGTGGCTGCCGGGTTGCGTGTGTTAGACACAGACATCTGGCATTCAGACCAACGTTAGGAATAGGACAAAATTATGAATTAAATGGCCCGTCGCCTCACGTGCGAGTGTCTGTCCGAGGTTCACCGATGTCGCCTGAACCAAGGACATGGGAGCACGGGAGGGTTTTGGCGAGGTTTTTTCACGGGGGAGAGAATGAGAGGGGTGGTGTTTAGCGGGTTAACTGTTTACTCGCTGATGATTTATCGATGTTTGTTGTCAGGGGGATCATGGTATTTTCATGGTTAGGGAGTCAGTCATGCTAGATTTATATCTGAGCTGTGGAAATGTAATAAGGCTTGGATAGGAAACTAGAGTGAGAGAGAGGACAGGAGAGAGAGAAAAGGACAGGATATTATCCTCCTAATGAACAGCACTGCAGCCACAGAATATGAAGTGTTCAGACCCCTTTACTCGCTCTCCTCTCCTTCCTGTTATGGGTCAGAGAAGGAGACAGGGAGGGAGACAGACACCAGTTCATCATAAACTAGTCAAGTTAGCTGCATCCTAGCAGTCTGAAATCGCTACCCCCTCTACTTACCTTACCTCTTTAATTCACAACCCTTGCTATAGCTATACCCACGTCCATCCATATAGGAGAAATTACTGGACAGGTTTCCAACAGTGGACAGACGGGAAGAACACTAGAGAGAAGGAGAAGAAACATTTAAGTTTGCACGGTATGTTTGTGACTGTGACAGACCAGTAAGACTAGCCCAAAGGCCGGCAGATGGCGATATTGAGTCGTGTCATTTTACCGTCCAAATGCATTGTATGCAGCCGGCAATACATTCGTATCCCCGTGGACCGGTTTGTACCTAAAACATTGTCCTCCATTCAGGCTGCAAAAGCTTCGATTTCCTCTTTAACTTTATTGAATGGCGAGAAGGCAGAAAAAAACGGGGAAGATATGCATATTTTCTTTTTTCCACCACCACCAGTGGCTGAATGCTAATCCCAGATCATGTGTATCGTGTTCAGCCAATCAGGTTGCAGCAGTCTGGTTTTTCACCCCTAACCTAATGTAGGGCTGAATCGCATTAGTGGAAAGCAAGACTTCTCAGGGCGGGTCTGCCGGTTTTTACCCCTTTCGTAGCAGGTGAGGAGAATTTACGCAGCAGGTTAGGACAATTCATGTGGAAGGTTAGGAAAATTAGGTTAAGGTTAGGAAAAGGGTTAGGGTTAGCTAAAATGCTAAAATTGTCCCCGATGCGACTCGAACATATATATCTACAACTAGGTCTTCCCTGAGAACAGTCTTGGTTTCCACTAATGCGATGCCGCTAAAACCCAAATCAAACAATGGTCAATGTAAACAGTCCGGGTGGCCATTTTATTAATTGTGCAGCAGTCTTATGACTTGGGGGTAGAAGCTGTTAAGGAGCCTTTGGGACCTAGACTTGGCGCTCCGGTACCGCTTGCCGGGCGGTAGCAGAGAGAACAGTCTATGACTTGGGTGACTGGAGTCTTTCACAATTTTTTGGGCCTTTCTCTGACATCGCCAAGTATATAGGTCCAGGATGGCAGGAAGTTTGGCCCCAGTGATGTATTGGGCCGTACACACTACCCTCTGTAGCGCCTTATGGTCGGATGCAGAGCAGTTGCCATACCAGGCGGTGATGCAACCGGTCAGGATGCTCTCGATGGTGCAGCTGTATAACTTTTTGAGGATCTGGGGACCCATGCTAAATCTTTTCAGTCTCCTGAGGGGGAAAAGGTGTTGTCGTGCCCTCTTCACGACAGTCTTGGTGTGTTTGGACCATGATAGTTTGTTGGTGATGTGGACACCAAGGAACTTGAAACTCTCGACCCGCTCCACTACAGCCCTGTCGTTGTGGTTGTGGTGTTGGAGTCGTGCCTAGTTTGTTGGTGATGTGGACACCAAGGAACTTGAAACTGTCGACCCGCTCCACTACAGCCC